TAGGTCTCAGGATTTCCGAAGGTCTGGTTGGAGCCTTGACGCCGCGTCTTCTCCCCAGAGGACAAGTCAGTGTATCGGGTGTTGATAGGACAAAGAGCATCGTGAGCAGCAAGAAGTGACAACCGTGAAATCCAGGACGGGACACTCGGCGTGCCTGTGGTGAACCCCATGTGAGCGCCCGTGGGCCAGCGGCCGGCTGGTCCCGAGTCCGGGCAGAATAAAGCCCCCTCAGGTGGGAGAGCCGGGCCGTCCGTCAGCAGTGCCGAGTTGGGGCACAGGCTTACTGTGAATACAGCTCGACCTAGACAAGGTCAGACAAGTCTTCATCCAACCGGAGTAAACGTCCCTGGTGGACTTCATTGATCAGCTAACCCACAGCGGCTACCGGCCCTGGCCACCTTAAAATGCGAGAGGTGGCCGTGTGACCCACTCTGGTCATTTCAGTGTGTGGGTGCCGTCTGGGAAATGCCTTAGAGGGAGCGTAAGAAGATCGCTTCCTAGCACTGCCAGTTCCCCACAACTTATATACCTTTGTTTGCACTTGGTGGTGTGAGGATATGATATCAGGAGCTTTGGCAGCCTTTTTGTGACCGTATTTAAGGCACAGGGTTCAAGCTCGGTACTGAGACACTGAGCAGCAGAATTACCAGCGGAACTCCCTACCCACCTTGGACTCAGTTTCCTTTTATTCACAGTTGAAGGTATTGTGAATTGGAGTAGTTTAAAAAAAAAAACACAGCCCATTATAACACTAAGATACCCACAAGAAGACTTGATTAAGATGTTTATGGTGGTTTTGTTCCTAACAGTCCCGGCCCAGAAACAGCGATGTCCACCCACGGGCATGGAGGCACCATCGGTGGTACCCAAATCAGCGGCAGGAGGGGTGGGCACCAAGTGCGTGCCGCCCCAGAGGAGGGTCTCCGGTGCTTTCAGCCCACGGAAGGGCATCGTACACAGAGACTGGGCCCTGTGTGATACCAGGTAGTGAAACTAATCTGTGTTTTAAAGGAAGCAGGACCCTTGACGTCTCCAAGGGTGAGGTGGACGGCAACCCGGACGGGGCAGGAGGGAATTGCTGGGGTGAGGGTCCTGTTCTGTACCCCGAGAGCAGTGACAGGTTCATAGGTGGGCGTCTGTGCTGCTGTGACTGTCCCTGCCCTCGGCAAGTGAGTCATTCACATGCTTGGGTGTTTCGGGGTGGATTGCACTGTAACACTTGAAAGGCCCCCCAAAATACGGCTGGTCGGTGGATGGTAGCGGGTGGGGGGTGGAGGGATTTCTGACAACATATAACGAAATGTTGTTGATGGTGGAATCCGAGTAGCAGGGCGTGATCGTTCCCCACCCGATGCTGGTAACGCCTCTGTGTGCTGGAACTTCTCATGATAAAACGGGGGGGGGGGGGGCACTAATGCCGGCTCATGGCCCAGGGGTGGCTGCTGATGCGTCTCGTAGCGTACCCGGCAGCCGTGTCCTTCCTGCGGCGAGGGCGGTGTTATGGAGATGGGGTTTGGATCTCGGAGTCTGGATGAGCCAGGGCGGAGCTGGCCTTCCTGGGCCTAAATTGTTTACCTGCAGCTTCGGGGGATGCCGGGAGGACGCCTCTGCCAGACTCAGAACAGGCGCGGCTGCTACCCAGCAAGCTTAGCCTCAAAGCCCAGAACACACCCGTAAGCCGGGGACCGCAGGATCCGGTTGCCTTGGAGGTTTCCGGGGGCGGCATTGAAATCCAGGCCCCAGAAGCCCTGCCCCTTGGGGAACCGTGCGGGAAGCCGCAGCCTCCCCTCTTTTATTAGCATCAACAGCTTCCCTGGTGCAAGCAAATGCCGGTGGAAGGCTCTGGAGCTTAGCCCGGCCCTTTCCAGGCCCCGGGTGCATAGGGATTGTGTTTTCGGAGCCCCTGGTTAATCTGTGCAGAAAATGAAATGATGAGGTGACAATTAATGACACCGAAATGGAAAGCCCCTGAGCACATAGTCCAGGAGCTTCTACTTCGCTCCGGAGCTGTTCTGCGATTCACCCGCAAGTCTTGCCAATAATCGCTTAGACTGGGAGGAAGAGAAAGGCCCCGGGCGTCTGGGTTTGCCGGCCCCCTCCTCGGGTCACCATGGCACGCGGTCTTCCGACTGCAGGAAGTGGAGGCACCGCCCCTCGGAGTCCCTGGCGGACAGAGCCGGGCCTGATGCTGACCAGGGAGGCGTCACCGAGACACAGCTCCTCTTTGCAGGGGAATGAAGAGCCTCCGTCCTCGAAGCCTCATCCTGTGCATTGACACAGCAACGCCTTTTATAAAACAGTTTGAAACGTTCCATGTGCAAGTAGTATTTCCCCCCAGCTCCAGCCTCCGTCCAGGTCCGCAACCTCAGTTCCTCCCTCCCTTCTCCGTGTCCACCCCCCTGCCGGGCCGGTGCACGTCCTGTCCGGGCCCCTTCCTGGCATCGCTGGGCCGGGTCCCTTCATCTCCCACAGGTCCTCAGCGTCCGACAGGTACAGCGAGCCGGCCGGTCCCCAGACCGTCTTCATCATCGTCGGTCTGCAAACGTCTCTGTTGCTTTCTACACCTACTCGTTCTGCTCCTGCTTTGGTTTGCCGACACCGAGGCCGTGAGAACCAGCCGAGCGGTTCCTGTCGGCGGAGGCCAGTGGCTCTCAACACTTCCGGAGCCTCCCCCCACAGCCTCTGGCAACCCCCGATCTCTGACCTTTCGAGGTCTCCAAGGTCTTGCCTTTTCCGAGATGTCTTGGAGTGACCATCCTACAGGACGAAGCTGTCTAGATGGGCTTCTCCCACTTGTTCATGTGACCTTGAGGTTCCTGTGTCTTTTCAAGGCTCGATAGCTGGGGGTTTTTTTTTTGCACTGTGTAATGTTACGTCGTCGGACGGACTCAGCTGGTTCCTCGTCACCTGCTAAGGGACGTCTCAGCCGCTTCCCGGTTTCGGTGCGGAGACGTCCGTATGCAGGTTTTCGTGTGCACATACGTTTTCGATCCGCTGGGTAAACACCGAGGATACGGTCGCTGGTTTGTGTGGTAGGAGTGGGGCGGGTTTCGTGAGAGACCACCCACGGGGCTGCCGTCTCCCACCAGCGGGGAGTGCGGCTCCCTCTGCCTCACGTCCTGCCGTGTCCGGCCATTCTCAGGGCTGCGACCTGGGGCCTGCTTGTTGTTTCGGTTTGCGTCTGTCTGAGGCCACGCAGGGGACACGTCACCCGGCGGGGCATGCGCCCCCCAACAAGCCTGGTAAATCAGGGCCTTGGAAAAACCCGGTTTTGTTTCTGGTTGGGGGCCCTCAGGTCCAGCCCTACGAGTCGCACCTGTGGAACCATGTCCGCATGCGCCGCGGTCCCCACTGTGAATTGTGCCTGGGCCTCGGCCTTCACCACCTCCCTGTGTGGTTCGTGCTCCTGTAGTGACATGAGCACCAGGCCAAGTGTCCGCGCAAGGCAGACCGGTGAGGCCGTCCGATGCCTCACTGTGCGCACACCTGGAATCGCCGCAGGGCAGCAGGTGTGTGCGAAGGTGGGGGGTCCAGCGGCGGGGGCCAGAGTTACCATCTTCTGGTCATTAGACCGTGGTGTCCTCCACGGGCCAGGCACACACAGTGGGGCCGCGAGCTCAGCCTTGGAGCAGGGGCCCCGGTGAGAGTGGGGGCCAGGTGGTGTGTGGCGTGGGCTTCCCTGTGCAGCCTCCCCCACAGACTCACCTGTGCCCCACCTCCTGGCCACGACCACCTGCAAGGTCTGCAGACTTTGCCCAATGTCCCCTGGAGGGCCAGCCAGCCCCGGCTGGGACCCACCACTTGGGAGCCCAGCTCAGAGTGGGGTTTGGGGCACAAGGGTGCAGCAGGGTCAGGTGGGACCCGCCCACCTGCCGAATGTGGCCGGCAGACCGATCCACGCCGCGCCGGCTATTCTGGCTGCACGGACAGATTTCCGCCTGGAGAAGGGCTGCGTTCATCTGCCGAGGCCAGGCAGGGCTTTTGTTTCAAAGCTCAAGTCCGCTCTTCCCAGAATTTCACGTCTCCGCAGAGCCTCTCAAAGCCGGTGCCCAGGCAGCCCTCCCAGCAGAAGCCCACCCCGCCCCGCCGCCCACCCCACTGGGTTGCTGCAGCTCCGCCGTCTGAGAGGCTTCCTCCCCTGGGCTGTGCAGCGAATCAGTACAAATGTAGCAACTTGAAAGAGCGTCCCTGTGTTAGGGCTCAGCTGACACAGCTCGCTGTGCCGTCCCATGCAGAGCTGGCGCCGGCCACGGTGCAGGTCCCCGGGAGCCCATGTGTGTGCGGGAACCGCCGGGTGCAGACAGCAGGCTGCAGCGCCAGTGGAACCGGGCCCTCTCCAGCGAAGTCCACGTGCAGCAGCACCCAGCTCCGAGCAAAGTCACATTTTGTGACGTTCATCACGGGCCGTGCAGGCGAGGGTTTCCACGCTGGGAGACCACGGGGTCAGGACACACAGGGCTCTCACGTGCTGATGTGTCTCAGACCTTCATCTCTTAGGCAAACCCTGGTCTCCTTGGAGCCAAGGGGGCCAGTGTGTTTAGCAAGTCGTTTTAACGCAAGACTGGGAGGGGGGACGGAGAACACACGTGTGCTGCCCTCGATCCGCTCACGCTGGTCTGGGGGGCTCCCTGAACACACCCGCGTGTGAGAGGTGGGCAGTGGTCTCTCACCACCGCCCATGGCCTGGGTGGCCTCATAGTGACCACCGGCTCATCCCGTTTGCTCAGCCATGTCCGACCTATAAACCACTCACCGGGACCTCTGTCCTGCCCTCTGGGCAGTTAGCAGGACGGGGGGTGAGTGTAGTGTTCTGAGTGGTGACCTTCCAAGCCGTAGCTTTGTGTGCCAATGAGAGACACACAGCTCTGCATGTGTGTCAGTGAAAACCGTCTGGAACAGTCTGAGAGCGGCCGGACCAGAGTGCGAGCGAGCAGAGCGGGGGGCCCCCGTGGACAGGTGGCCGCTGACCTGGCCTCTCTCTCTCTCTCGTCTCCCTGCAGGGCCAAGGTGAAGAAGGGCGTGAACGTCCTGAGCGCCCGGAGCAGCGAGCCGCAGCTGTGGGACGTCCGGCAGGAGGTGGGAGACGGCGGGAAGCACGCCACCGCCACCGTGGTGTGCCAGCGCCTGGGGCCCGGCAGTCGCGAGGGGTAAGCACCGCCTCCCTCTGCAGGCACCACGCGGGGTCCTCGTGACCCGGCGTCCGCCTAAGACACTCATATCTGCTGCTGCCCAGCAGGGCTGCTAACCCTCGGCCCTCACACCCGGGCGGCCCCACGTGGCCCTGGCTGCCGTGGCTCAGCTGGTTGGAGCATCGTCCCATAAACCAAAAGGTGGCAGGTTCGATTCCGGGTCAGGGCGCGTGCCTAGGTTGTGGGTTTGGTCCCTGTTCCAGGTGCATACAGGGGGCAACCAATCGATGTTTCTCTCCTCCTTCCTCTCTCTCTAAAAGCAGTGAGGAAACTGTCCTTGAGAGAGGGTCACAAAGAGGGGACGGCACCGTCTGGCAGGTCAGCTGGAGGGCAGGGCACCGGTTGTGAAGGTCCGTGGTCCAGGCGTTGGAGCGGAGATGAGTCAGCGAGATTCTGCTCTGCTTCGCTGAGGCTCACCCACCCCCTTCACTGACACCTGTGTCCCCTGGGGCCATGTCACCTCCCAGTGCCCTCCCCACGGGACCAGAAGCGGGCGGCTTGCTTACCAAGTGTATATTCGTGGTGCACAGGGCTGGAATTGTCACCACTGGGGACGGATTTAAGGGCAGGAGGTGACAATCGGTGGCAGTAATGCATAAGGACGTGCTGAGGGACATCCAGACGGTTATTTAAAGCCCTCGTTTCCTCGGCCTGGAAGCAGCACCTGCTCGCTGTAGCTGGCAGGACACAGTTATGGGGCTCACGGAGGTCAGGCCTCGTGTGCCTGTCCCCAGGGCGCCGCCGCCGCCGCTGGCGGGCTGCGTCAGTCCCCTTCCCACACCTGGAGCATCTTTGTGTAGTGACTGTGCCGTGGAGCTCATTCATCCTAAAATTTGGGGTCACTACCTGTGTACAGACTGTGAAACTCTGGTCCCTGCCTCTGGCTTCTGTGGACAACACGTCTCCTGACATCCGGGTCCCTGCACCACTTCTGACGGCGGTGACATCCCGTGGTGTGGATTTACCGGGACGTAAACCACCACGTCTGTGTCACGTGGGCCATCCACGGGGTTTCCACGTCTTACCCACATGGGCAGGAAGCTCCTTTCTACGTAAACCTCTGTCCGCTTCTCGTTTTGCTCCAGGCTCCTTCTTGGAATCAGAAAGTTCTGTCATTTCGAGGCTCTCGGTACATTCGGTCAGGGTATTTTCCTGTGGGGATTAGCCATAGGGACAGACAGACAGACGGACCCTTCCTGGGACACGTTTCCTTCTGTGAGTGCTGCTCCGCCGCAGAGAAAAATTCCGCCCCTTCTCACTTTGCTGGAAACCCACCTCGTCCCCTCCTTTCATGTGCAGCCAGCGAAACACCTGGTGTCCCGAACAGCTAGCTCCCCAGCTCCAAACTCAGCCTTCTCCTCTGTCACCCCGAGCACCGTTAGGACGCCCGAGGGTGAGGCCTGGCTGTCCGAAGGCAATGCCTGGTCCCTTTGTGTAAGCAAGAGATGATGCCAAATTAAATCTCCTGTGTCACATGCACAGGAATCTGATTAGCCCACCCGATTTGTGTGGATTTTGCAAATAAAAAGGAACTTATGTAAATAGTTCTTCATGTCACATCCAGAAGGTGTCTCCGGGGGAGGGGGATGCCTTGCTGGTAAGCTCTGCGCAGTCCTGAAGGTCACCCCGTTAGCTCCGGGCTTTTTCCAGAAACCATTCTGGGCGAGGCTGGGCTTTCGGGGAGTGTCAACCCACCATCCGCCGCGCCTCGCTGGGAGTTTTGGCAGAGGGAGCCGAGGTCCGACACTTGTGTTCCCTCCGTTTCAACCCCAGAATTGTCGGCCCCCCCTGGGTTAGCGTCAGGCCGGCTGGGGGAGGTCTGGCCGCCCTCTGCCCATTCGCTGGTGTTAGCACGAGGTCTCCTCAGCCATGTTTGCCTTTGTGGGAGAGTGGATGCGCAGGACGGCCATCGGGGTGGGGTGACACGGATCCAGAGCTGCTGTGAGAGCCGGGTAGATGGGACCTGTGTTCCCAGCTCCTGTTCAGTGACGTCGGCCTCAGGAACTGGCGGACACCCCGAGTCAGCACCTTCTGGTGATACTGGAGAGCCCACCCGGCCCACTGCAGCCCACGTCCGCTGCTCACTCCCTCGCTAACCGGGGTCTCCAGACGCCACCGGCTGTCCCCCACGTGGAGGTGCTGTGCCCTGTGCCAGGCACAGTATCTGGCCAGAGCCAGGAACTCGCCCCAGATTGCGCCTCGCCCCGTCCCACCCGGACTGCTACTCACCGCAGCGTTTCCTTGGAACCAGCATTAAATTGTTCTGGCTTTTAAAAACCCGCCTTTATTTTTAGTAATAATATCTTTGAAATCATGCATCTGGGGTGCTTTTATTATGTTCTAATGCACACCACATCGAGGACAGAACTTCGAGAGCTGTTTTAGATAATTATCCTCGGGTTACAGCGGGAACGTGGTTCACGGGTGTCCTCATCCCAACAAGAAAGAGTAGATGTCTGTGTGCACGGTGGGCATTCTGTGAAGCCAGCGGGGACCTCGGGGCTGCCGCCTGAGCGGCCACAGTCGACACCGGCTCCCCAGGGAGGGTCGCCCTGCCCCCGGCACCGGCCCGGCCCAGCCCCACTGACCGCTGCGCTTCACCAAACACCTTTGCCTACACCGGGTCACATCCGCCTTCTTAAATTTCCCTCTTGAGCGTGATTACTGCACTGTCGCGGTTACGGCCTCTTCCGGGAGGTAGGTGTAGCGTCTGAGAAATAGGGACCCAAATGCACCCCGGGTGTCTCACAGCGCCCGGCGCCCCACAAAATGCCCTGCACACGTTATTTCCGTGCGGCTCCCTCTGGCTTCTGTGGACAGAGGGGTCTTGGGCTTGGGGAGATGAAGGAAGGATGAAGCCATTGCAGGGAGGAAGCGTCCAACCGAATGTGTGTGCCAATGGTTACGAACAGTTTTTAGAAACAACTTCCGTCTCTTCGGCAAATGGAGACGCTCACACACACTGCAGGCGGGCGCCGGCAAGCCCGGTGTGAATGCGCGGACCCTGCTGACGTCCAGCCGCGCTGCCCGCGGAAGCGGGGGTCCGAGGGTGGGGCCGATGCTACGCCAGCTGCACACTCAGACTTTCTGGCTTTTGCTCCCTTCCTTGTCTTTTTATTCAGCTTGTTTTCATTAATGCTCATGGTTCACTTTGATGGTCGGAGACACGTTGAAAACGGTTGTAAGCCTGTGCCGCACGTCACCTGTAATGGCACGGTCATGTTGAGAGCAGGGTTTGCCTCCGGCTGGGACCCCCTGGGACGGACCTTCTCTGAGAGTCCGCAAGGCTGACGCACCCGCCCGAGCTCCGTGGTTCAGGGGCCTGCCTGCCGGCATGAAGGGGGGACCTTCACGCATTCAGAGGGTCCCCGACGTCAGGCAACCTGGCCCTCGATTCTGCGTGCCTTCCTGCTTGTCCCCCTGCAGACCCTCCTGGTCACACACTCCTGCTGGAGTGTCAGGAGCTGGGTGGCTGTGGATGACGCTCCCGGTCTCAGGGCACCGTGAACTTGGGAGGGCGGAGGAGGGGCAGCTGTGGCCCGTGGGCCCCGGGGCTCGATCGTTCTCACTTGGACGACGGACGAGTCAACCCCAGGGGTCTAAGGCGTGTTGTCCTGTGTCACTTCACTAGGGCACAGCTTCCCTTTCTGCTGTGACGTCTCTCTGCTCCCTACTTTCTTCTGTGTGCGGGAGAGCGTAGGTAACCCACGCATGCACTTGTGACCTCGGAATGTACACGGAATGACACGCCCCCTGCTCCCCCAGCTGCGGTGCCCGGAGGTCACCAGGCTTGTACTTTCTCTGGGGCACAGGGGTCCCCGGTGGTTTGCTGCCTGCGGTGCATCAGGAGCCTGGCTTCCTTCTCTCCGATGGCTCTGGGTGCCCGAGGGCCAACCACATTCCCACGGTCTGAGATGGGCACCAGCCCCCAGAGCCCCCAATGGGCGAGAGTCATGGACGCTAGTCAACAGAGGAGTATTGTTGTCTTTCTCTGAAGAACAGAGAGGAGCCTGGGAACTGTTTCGGGCCTGGCGGTGGCCCGGCCGCCCCTGTAGGGGCCATGCCCACCGGGAACACATAGTGAGTCAGACTGACGCAGCCCCGAGGGAGGACCACAGGCGCCCCCTTCCTGCCGCCCTTGTCTCCCTGGGCCAGTCTCCCAGAGACCGGGGACCCCGCCCCCGCCCCTTCTGCGACGCAGCCTCCACTCCTACAAGCGTTTACAGGACAGCGGCACCCCTCCCTCGGCAAACCCCTCCGGGGGTTTGTTCAGGAGAAATCAGAGCAACACTTATTAGGAAACTTAAAAAAAAGAGTCGGGGGAAGAGGCCGCCTCTGAGCGCGGAGAGATTATTCTAATAACTTTAAATTAGTCCTCGAACTCACCGACCGCTCTCCTCCCCGGCGCGGTGACAGGTTGTTCTGCGGGCTGCTCTGCCAGCCGTCCCGGGTAACCTAATAACGCTCTTCTCCCCATTTCGCACATCACATTAATTCTTCATAAGTGGGCCTTATTATTCCTCGCTTGTCCCATCTCCGCGCGGCGTTTTCTCTGCAGCGCTGTGTAAACCAGGCCGGCTAAGTGGCAGAGGCGTCTCATCCATCATGCCTGTCATTGTCAACCCTGGGAGGAAGCACCGGTGCCTCCGTTAAGGGCGCAGGCACGTCCCCTGACTGCGCGGCTGGCTCCAGGCCGAGAGTGCCACTTCCGCGCCTCAGCGGGGGACAGACCAAAGCGAGTCACTCTCTGGGACCTGCAGTGGTGACCAGGGAGGTGTGCATGGGTCTGGGTGTACAGGTCGGCTGCTGTGACGGTCCCCCGCGCCCCCCCCCCAATCACTGATTCAGCAAGAAAGAAGTCAGTTTCTGTTTTGTTTCACGGGTGAGGTCGTGAGGCAGGTCCACTCTGCAGAGGCAGGGGGCCCAGACTCTTCCCAGTTTGTCATGGCAGCACTCCA